ATTCAAAGTTTTATACAAGGCAGGGATTCTGAGAGCAGGCAAAGAGGAAAGAATTATACCACCCTGGGCCTTATGTGATGTGCACCTGCATGGAAGGATATAAGGAGGTGAGAGAGAAAGGAAAGATTAAGGCTTAAGGAATTAGATTGACAGCAAGACTGGACAAGGAGAGAAGAGATCAAAGATGACAGTATAACTTTAAGGTTGGGATAAAGAATAAAGGGTGGTCTTTTTTAAAAAATGTATTTAGTACAGGGCCTATAGGGTCTCACTACAGACTGGACTCAAGTGATCCTCCTGTTCAGCCTCACAAGCATTGGGATTACAGGCACGCCACCACACCCAGTCTCAATCTCCTGTCTCAAAGCTCCAGGGGCGGGGCCAGCATGCATGCCAGGGATTGAGCCTTGGTCGCTGAACCTGCCTAAGCAGGTGCTTTAGTCCACAGAGCTATCTGGCTCGCCCTTTGGTGAGTCTTTTCAGGACACAGTAGTTAGGCAATAATGCTATTTAAAAAAGAATATGGGAGCCAGGTACAGTGGTATCTAACTTTAATAGTGTATATTACTTTGGGAAGCTGAGGAAGGAGGATCACAAGTTTAAGCCCAGTAGAGACAATTCAGTGATATCTTGTTTTAAAATAAAAAAGAGCTGTCCTAGCTCAGTGTCAAGGCCCTGGCTTCATCCCTGATACTGCAAAAATGAAAAGAAAATGACAGGGTAAGAGTGATGAGATTTGTTTTCAATATGAAAACAAATTGTGTATGTATCTTGGAAAATCCCCAAAGCAAGAGATACTACACAGGGTGGGAAATACAAAGACACTCAAATATATGAACAAAATGGATAAGCAGGGGTATAGAGCAGTGAGCAAAAATAGATACAGGTAGATTTCTCAATGAAGAGCATGAGAAAAAACTAAAAAAAGAAAAGTCAAATAGTGAAGAAAAAGGGTCCCACAAGCCAAAGGAGAAGACAGTCCCGAAGTTAGGGGAGATATACATGAGATTAAAGAGGACACGAATTTTTAGGTCTTAGTACTTATACTCTGGGATACTCAGGATATTTCAATAGAATGATGAGAAAGAAAATTGAAAAATCTCAAGGCTAAATGGATTAAAATGGATGATATTTAAAAAACCATCAATGATTGAGGAAAAATGGAATGGCAGCTGGAAATGGGTGATAAGTTCCTATGTTTTATGTTGTACATGAACTGCTTGCTGTCTTCTCACTGTCCATCCGCCCAGCCTACAAGATGGACAGTCTTTTCCCTCGACAATTCTACTTTAGGCAGTTTAGAGGACATGTGCCAGAATCTGTAAGTTATTATTGCCTGATCCTCCCAGTTATGCTTAAATATGTTTCACTGACATAATTTATTTTCCTAGTGTCCATCAAAAGTGTCAGCATTTAAAGACGATATAACTCCAAATGTGACTTTCAACCACTTTGAGTACCTGCAATGGATATACACTATGCAGCGCATTAGCTTACCCAGTGTCTCTCATAAAGAGGCTTGTGTACTTTTAAATGGCTGGCCAGAGTTTGTGTTTGCGGTAGGCGACAGAGCAGTAGTCAGGAACACAGGCTCTCCGGCGGGGCTGCGGGGTACAGCCTCAACGGGATCTATGGTGTGTAAGCAGGACATGCTTACTGTGGGGCTTGGCAGCTATCATTACCTGGAAACACGGAACCAAGAATAAAGCGAAACTCCTAGCTAATAAAGCCCTATACTCTCCCATGCCACCCTGCCTCAGAGATCTCTGAAACCTATGGTGCCTCTCTGAGGACTGTGTTGGATGGCAGCAGGATTATGGAAGAACCACCTTTTTATGCCAGGTGGTAAAATGAAAGCTGAGAATGAGCCAAAAAATATTAGTGTAAAGTTCACTTCAATTAATAAAAGCATAAAAACAAAACCTGCAAAATAAAAGAGAATAGATGACATTCATAGTAAAGAACTTAGAGTGATGTTATACAGACTGATCAATGACTTTCTAATGTTTAGAAAACTTGAGACCAAGAATGCCTTCAGCTGATATCCTCAAAGCATCCAGAGCTGTTTCTGTTGTCTTACACCACCAGGCTTCTTCCATATATTTGCTGAATCTTTCAAGTGACAATCTTTTCTCACACTACGCTAATCTCCAGTATGACACCAATTTCCTTAATCATGTTACTTTCTCTTCTCTGACTTTCTGACAGATGTTTAACAGTTCTGAGTTAAGTACTCTGGCTACAGATCACTTTGGGAACTGCTGTAAAGGGGATGCTGGAATGTAGACATTGCTTCACGTGCTCTGCCAAAAGAGCTTTTTATTGGAAAGTTTGCTTCTGAAGTATTTGAGTATGTGTGTACACATGTGCACATATGTGTACCTTCCCTCTGACAGTGGAGCCACCCTATGTAACAGCTGTACACGGGGCAGCATGGGACTAGGCAGAATCAGTACCACAGAGGGTAAAGCACAAATAAAACAAAGGGCAAGGACCTGAGCACAAGTAGATTTACTTACTTGTTTTTGCTTTGTGAAAATTTCAAGCATAGGGAATTAGAAATGGTAACCTACATGTCAAAGAGAAGAGGGGCTGGGGATATAGCTCAGTGGTAGCGTGTTTGTCTAGCATGCACAAAGCCCTAGCATTAACTGCTGGTACCACAGAAAGAAAAAAAAAAGGGTAAATGATAAGGGAGGCATAGGTACCAATAGTTCCATGAAACAAATGTTCATCATGTCAGTGTTGTTCATGGTCAAGTTGGGTCACAGGAATATAGATGTTATGGAGACACAATTTATGAATCATCAAAGGTTGAACCCAGTAAGATTTTTTTTTTATGACTTTAGTACAGGGTCTACAGGGTTTCACTACACAGATCAGACTCCCAGTGATTCTCCTGTTTTCAGCCTCCCCAGAGCTGGGATTACAGGCGGGTGCCACCACACCCAGTCTCAATTGCTGTCTCAGCGCACCCCAGGGATGTGGCTGGCATGGCACGCTGGGAATCGAACCCCTGCTACTGTTCTCTAGCAGGCACTTTAGTCTGCTGAGCTATTTGGCTGGTCTGAGGTAAGATTTTATAACTCATTTTTTTTTTTTTTTGGCGGAACCAGGGATTGAACTCAGGCCCTTGCACTTGCCAGGGAAGCTCTTATTCCACTGAGCCATCTCCCCGGCCCTTATAACTGATTTTTAAAACATGATTGTTATATTTCTCAGGGCAGTCAGTGTGAAAGTGTTATTTCTCTTGCCAGGCAGCACTTAAGGTGCTGAGCTATATCGCTGACCCCTTATTTCTCTTGGAGGTTTCATTAGAACCTATATAACTGGTCTTGTGAATACACTGAATGGGGTAATTTCAAATTTGAGGGTTAATTTTTGAAAGCAAAAGTTATTCAACTTCTAGTTCAGTGAATAAGTGGCCAATCAACTGGCCAAAAGTAGAATTTCATTAGGATTTTCTTCTAGGATTTATCAAATGGGACTTCTAAGAATTTCTGTAAGTTTGGAAGAATCGTAACACTATTAAATAATGGTATTTGAGGATGTGTAGAACTAACCAATTTAAAAGATATTCTATCCTGAATTCATGAGACTTGGCAGGTTATTTACATCAGCCTCTAAGCCTTTAAAGATGGTACAGAGTGCCTGGTTCTCATAGTTGAACCCTCTCGTAGGTCACAGCTGATCTGAGAAATATGAACTCTTCCTACACATTGCTAGCACTTGACCTGCAACCTCTACGGCATTAGGAAGTGTCTTGTTAGTAGATCACAAACACTGATTACTGACGGAGTGCATCAGAATTCAGAAGAATGAGAACTGTGGGGTAAGATACTTGGTAGATCACCAGTGTAAGTACTAAGCCATAGGAACGCAAGGACCTGAAGGAGGACACATGAAGAGCCACAGCCATCTGAGGAGGTGGGTCTGGGGCAGCCACAGAGGTGAGAGCCCTCTGGTCAGGACATCTGGGCAGGCTGACAGGAACCTGAGAGAGCAGTACATAACAGGCCAAAGGGATGATGTACGTTTTTTGAATGGAATTTTGTATCTTCTTTATTACTCTGCCTACTTTTTGTCCTACATGACGCCATAACTAGGACAGTGAAAATACCCTTTGTACCCCAGTGGACAGTGAGGAAATGGAAGGACAGAGGCGACCACAAAGGACAAATGTCCATGCTTGAGAACAGCCAGGCTGAGTCTCCACTCACCTTTCTCTGCATCATTCCCACAACCATCACTAATGTGTCCACTTCCTTTGCTGACACGGGTACTGGGATGAGGGTGGTGAAGAATAAACACAGATGCTCAGTGACTCAGTGGAGTCAGTAACGTGACAAGTGAAGCAAAATGCTGAAGTGCTGTTAAAAATATAGCATTCTGGGTCTGCATGGGAATATGGATTTCCACCAACTAGAAGGAACATTAAAATAAAGAATGAAACACTTAAGCATGAAACAAATCATGTCTGTAAAAACTTCCCTACAACTATACTCTTAGAAAGCTAAATACAAGTAAGTCTCACGGACAGGCTACCCAGGACAATACAGCAGCTTCTCAGATGAAGAGCAGGAAGACACTTTCAGGAAATAAATGGGAGAAGGAGCCCAGGAGTTGGGAAGCAGCCAATGAGCTAGGAGCAACAGCCTCTCTTAAACCTACAGCTACTCCAAGTGTCTCAAGCCACCATAAGCAACTTGCTGTAGTGCTAATTTAAGTTTCTAAGGGACATATGAGGCTGCTGGAAGCCTCACTCCACCAGACCTCCGAAGAAGTCAAGCTGATCTGCCTATATCCATGTACTGGGCCTAACCCATGGAACAGTCGTTCTAACCCTGCCACTTCTAAAGATTTTGCCACTACATGATGTTACCATCATTCTTGCCTTTTTTTTAAAAAACCACTGAATGACTTCACCAGTGCGTGGTTTTCAGGCTGCATAATACTCAAACACTTACTGAGGCTTTTCCTAAACTCCTACAGATTCAGACTTTTCTCCACTGTGGATTCGCTGATGTCGAATGAGACTTGACCTCTGAATAAAGGCTTTCCCACACTCATTGCATTGATAAGGCTTCTCCCCTGTGTGGATTCTCAGATGCTGAATGAGGCCAGTGTTCCCATTGAAAGCTTTCCCACATTCTTTACATTTATAGGGTCTTTCTCCAGTATGAATTCTCTGGTGTTCAATGAGGCCTGACTTCTGACTGAAGGCCCTCCCACACTCATTGCACTTGTAGGGTTTCTCTCCTGTGTGGCTTCTCTGGTGACCAATGAGATGTGAGCTCCGCCTGAAGGTTTTACCACACTCATCACACTCATAGGGCTTCTCCCCAGTGTGGATCCTCTGGTGTCCAATGAGATGCGAGCTATGACTGAACGCCTTCCCACACTCACTGCATTCATAGGGTCTCTCACCACTGTGGATTCTCTGGTGCAGAATAAGGCCTGCACTTTGGCTGAACGCCTTCCCACACTGGTTGCACTGATACGGCTTCTCCCCAGTGTGGATTCTCTGGTGCAGGATCAGGCCTGTGTTCTGGCTGAAGGCCTTACCACATTCCTTACAGTGGTAGCGTTTTACCTTGTTGTGGATATCCTGATGGGAAAGCAGGGCTGACCTGTAACTGAAGGCTTTACTACACACATTACACTGATAGGGCTTCTCCCCAGTGTGGATCCTCCAGTGGCGAACAAGGCCTGAGCTCTGAGCAAAGGTTTTCCCACATTCATCACATTTATGGCGTCTTTCTTGGGTGGGATTTCCCCGCTGCCTCTCTAATCTGCCCAGAAGGTCCTGGGCTTCTCCCCTGATAACATCCCCGTTGCATCTGGCAGCTGTCTCTCCACGGGGCTGGATTTCAGCAGATATTACCTGTTTCGTAGCTAATTCCTTGTTCTCATTCCTGGTCTCACCACCTGAAATAAATATGTAATAAATAAACATCAAGCCAGGGTAGCTTCCTATTGGCTATGCTAGCAAAAAGGAATACTGCCCAAAGTACACATGGGACAGTTAAAACCATATATAAAACCTCTCTGTCTCCAAAGTGTCTTCATGATAGGCAGAGCTATGTGTGGGATGAAACAGAAATACCACAGGCTATCTGGGGAAGTGCCCTGGAAAAGGGGTTAGGGGGTGGTAAAGTCAGGAAAGGGCCAGCTAAAGAGCAGTGGAAGCTGGGAAGTTGGAAGGAACATGGAAATACTAAGCGATCCAAGGAGTGGGACAGAAATGGGCAAATGCAGCACAGTCATGGGCAGGGAGGAAGAACAGTAAGTTGAGGTGAGAAAATCCTATAAAGATCCAATAGAAACTAGGAGAAGAAATGTGTGAACCCAGAGAGTGCTAGAGAGATGTTAATTTCCAACTGGAAAACAGAACAATACCCCAGGTACAAACTGTGAGAAATTCCTGGATTGGAGAACAAAGGTTTCAGTTTATACCTAGAAAAGTCTCAACCTTATAACCCTCTGTTGGACCCTGAGCTTAAACCTTGTATCTTCTAGGAAGCTCACAGCTACTATACACATAATAGAGAAACCAACAAAGTCTTCAGTGGTAATAATCATCAGAGCTTCCTCACCCAGGGAGAACACGTTTCTGCAATTCTCTGGCCTGTCATCTCTACTCAGAGCCTTCTTCAATGGATCAAGAAGCCACCGCTCTTGAATAAAGGACACGGGCTTATCTTCAGTCTTCCCTGAAGCCTGAAACAAAACAAAATCCTCATTTGGGGCCTGAAAGTGTTCCAGTGTCAGACCTACCAGTTTTAGGAGACCATTAAGAGGTAGGAATGCAGTGTGGAAAGGGATCTGCTTAACTGGGAAGAGAAGGAAAGTGTATCAGATTTATTGGGGTGGAAGCAGGATCGATCTGTTACCATGCAAAACAATGTGAGGCCAACTCTTTCACAGGTACTGCTACAGAACAGTTCTCTAAACACTGCTAACAGAGCTGTGGTGTTTTAGTCAAAAGTACACAACTTACCTGCAACCCTGCATTGAGAGGGGCAGCCATCACTTCCTGGCCTCCAGAACTTCTTTTCTGGAAAGGGGTGGAACTCTGAGAAGCAGTCACGGCTGAGAGGAGAGAGGAACTATGAATGAAACAAACCCTGTCTGTACTTGTGACTGGCAGCACGAATCCATTCCAAACCATGTGTATTTCAGCAGGTATATGTGCCCAACATTTTGCACCTAAAGTGCTAACAGCTTGGACTCTCGGCCCACACCTATGGCTGTCCACAAAATATCTGCATTTTTGTATCCTTAGGCTCAGCCTAAAATGATATGCAGAGATATAAAGCATACCAACTTCCTAGCAGTTGCTTTCTAACTCCATCACCAAATCCACCTCTGTGCTCACACTATTTCTTTAGGTCCTACCCCTAGTGAACTGAATGGGAAAGTCAAGCTATCACTCTGAACTCATTACACTTCTTAGATGTCTACCATGACTGCCAGGATTTGCTTTCTAGGGCTGGTTGATTTCCAAAATCAACATAGACTATTATGTCTTGGGAAAGAAGCTTTAAGACTTCAGACAAAAATTTATTGTTAATTCAAAGCACTTCTGTGCTTCTTCAAAAGTATTAGCAAACTACTATATCCTACATAGGTGAAAAATTACAATGCAGGGGAACATGAGGCTGGAACATCTTGTTCTGTAGGAAGTTAAGGAAATTCTCAAAAAATGAAGGAAAATGTTAAAAGGACACAGAAGCCTGACTTAAAGGATTTCTTTTGTCTAATATGGGATGATTTAAGCATCAAAATGAAGACAGTAATAAAATATCTATGGGACAAACAAAAAATTAAATCCATACTGATAAAGAAAACATTAATAAAAGCAAAAGCATACTTTCCCTCACAGCAAAGAAGAGTTGTACAAAGAATGACAGAATTAGAACATTACTGTCTTGTCACTGGCATAGTAATCACAGACTCAGTCAAGAAACACCAATAGGGCTGGTGAGATGGCTCAGTGGTCTAAAGCACCTACTTAGAACAAGCTTAGCAAAGCATCAGGGACCGCGGTTCAATCCCCCAGCACCACATGCCAGCCAGCCCACCCCCTGGTGGGCTGAGCTGGCCACACACACGACACACATGCACACACATAAATAAATAAATTAAAAAAAAAAAAAAGAAACACCAATAACTACTGAAACTAGTGTTTTAGTAATAAATAAATAAATAAAATGGGGACTAGGATATTTACACAGACTCAAGAATATGACAAGGAAAAATAGGGGATTAATAGCAAGACTAACCTTAGCAAATTCATTAAATATTGCCAATAACAAGACAAATTTCTTGTCTTGTACCTCTACGAAGGACACAATTTAAATTCTGAAACAATGTGCCAAATATATACAGCCTCAATCTACATATGAGAAAATACTAAGCGTGCTCAAATTATAGCCATTCTACAACATCACCCGCATTCATCAAAACAGTTAAGATCTTCAAAAGACAGACTGAGGAACTATGCCAAAATAAAGAAGAGTAACAATAAATTGAACATTATCATCTTGGGTTGCATTCTGGAACAGAGAAAACATTATTGGGACAATGGGAAAAGTATGAATATAAACTGCGCTACATTCAGCTGTCTTGGTTAGGAACTAGAAGAACATCCCAAGTGCACTTCCTTTTTTTTTTTTTTTTTTTTTTTGGCGGAACCAGGGATTGAACTCAGACCCTTGCACTAGCTAGATTGCACTGAGCAATCTCCCTGGCCCCCAAGTGCACTTCTTTTCCTTCTGTGTTTTCATCCTTAGGGATGAACTCTGGTTCCTCACCTCTCTCCTGAGGCCCTTGGAGCCCTGGAGATTTACACGGGGCTGTCACAGGTTGGAGAGCAGCACGTGGAGGCTCTGCTGCAGGTTCTGCATGTGTTGCCTCTTCCCAGAGTACTCGATGTCCAGGTGCACGAGCCAGGACCTAGAAACAGTGGGGCTGCTGGATCACCAGGATTTCTTTCAGCAGTGAAAGGAGCAAGGAACGACCCATGGCCCAACTCCATGGGCCCAGGCTTGGGGTAGGAAGCAACGGTCAGTCTCACTCCCAGGGACAGCACAGGACACCAACGTCTGGGTGACCTCAGGAGGAAAGGCATCATTTCTGCTCAGGACTAAGGGAAAACGTTTCTGCTCATGTCCTTCCTATTCTAACAAACACTGATGTCTTGTGTTTGCAAGCAATGTATCTATATCTATATCTATATCTATATCTCTATATATATATAGAGAGAGAGAGAGAGAATAAACAGACTTAAAACAGGCCACAAGGTAGTGAAAAACCTTGATAAAGATCTAGGGCAGTACTGGCAAACCTATAGCACATGTGCCATAGGTAGGAGTTGTTATCATTGAAAGCCCTAAAAGGTTTGCCATCAGGATCTAGGGAGACTGAGTTCCACTCTCAGATCCACTTTTGATTTTTTGGGTACCCCTGAGAAAAGTAATTTCAGCTCCCCATGTATCTGGTTGCCACCTGACAAACAGGAACAATACAGTGATAGGGATATGATTTAAAAAATGAATTATACCCTTTATAAAAGTTAAAAGGAATCTGTAAATATGGGACATATTACTAATGATAACTACGTCCATCTTCATCCAGTGGACACCAGTGCCTACATTTACCTCCCACAGAAGGCCAACATCCCTCTGCCCAGCTGCCAGGTTGCCCACAATCAGCACGCATTGCGCCTTCTACTCACTGGCCGTCCTAGGATGTCAATCTGCCTCTCCAAGTCCTCCAACAGGGTCACCACCTCCTCTCCATTCTCTATTTGATGTTCCTTAACCAGGGTCTGCAGCTCCCGGGGCAGGATGGTCAGGAATTGCTCCAGCACCAGCAGCTCCAGGATCTGCTCCTTACTGTTCAAATCTGGTCTCAGCCACTGGTGGCAAAGTGCCCGGAGCTGGATCAGGGCTTCTCGAGGTCCCAGTGTTTCCTGGTAGCACAGCTGCCTGAAGCGCAGGCGGAAGAGTTCTTGGCCAGGAGAGTTATTCTCATGCAGGCTTGATTCCGGTTCCCACCCATTGTCCTCCTCTATCTTGACAATGACAAGGTCCTCTTCAGGAGCCTGGTCTTGTGGAGAAGAGGGGGAAGAAGGCTTTCTTGATTCTTCTGCCATTTCGGGCCAGAAAATGTCAGGAGGCTTGCTTCCACTGTGTTCTTTTACCTTCTTAAGAGAAGAACCTTCTGAATTCCACAAGGATATTTCTCTGAAAAGAGAAAATAGCACATACTGTGAAGGCAAGTCATATGTCAGTGACTTAGGAACTTCCCCATCCCCCACAGACTTTGTGGTTCAGGTATTGGTTCAGGTATTTCCAAGATCTTTGCTATTCCTGAAGTGACTCCTTACCTCCTTAATCTTTTGCCATGGTCAACCCACCCAGAGAATAAACCCTGCCTTCTGCTTTCTCTGTTTAGGGAAATGGAAGATAGATCAACAAAGTCAGGAAACCTGCAAGACTAGGCCTATGTGAAATTCTGTGTTCAACTGAAACTGGTCCTCAGTGCTGCTCACGTAACTCCTTTTAGGATTTGTTATGCTGGCTATGAACAAGTCCTATAACATTCAACTCAATAAACTTAAACTTCCCTAATTCACAGTTTCATCATCTTTCACATGAAAGGGGCTGTTGATCTTCAGATCCTTACTCTAATGAAAATATAGAGCTTTTCTCTGGAAAACGGCACCAAATTTTACATTTAATTTCAGGACAGTACTAGACGTTGTAGTGCATGCCTGTAATCTCAGCACTCATGAAGCTGAGGTAGGATCACTGTGAGTTTCAAGGCCAGTCTGGGCTACATGAAGGAGTTAAGGTCAGCCTGGCCTAAACAATACTGTGAGATCTTGTCTCAAAAATCAAAACAAAACAAAACAAATAGAACAAAACAAAACATGAATCATTAAAAAAAAACACAAACCATAATTTAAGGACAGTTTACAGATTGGAGACTCATCTAAGAATGACATTAAGATTAAACAATTCCTATTTAGAGTGTGTATACAGAAAAGAATTTTAAAAGTTACCTTCAACAGTATGTGTGTGGGAGGGGGCTAAACAACAGATAAAACTATGAAGCAGCAAGGTTAAATATGGTGCTTCAATGAGAGGTTAAGTACATTATGAATTTACAGAGACATGGCTGGATTTGTTAGAATGAGATTTGGAGAAGAATCAATTTGGGCAAGACGGTAGGATGTTGTGCTTCACAATTTGATGCTATATAGTTACAGACTTACCCTGTTTTTCTCAGTGTCCTTAAAGATTATCTAGCAAAGAACTGATCATCTTACAATCAATTCTCAACTATATAAAAATCTCAATGTAAAGTGTGCATGTTCCAGTAATTTCATGTTGTTAATGGTCTGAGTCTCACCAATAACAATGATGAAAGTCCCCTAGTTATCATGTGTGCTTATTTTAATACCAAAGGCCTATCCTTGCTTTAATCCCAGTTTTTCTCTTCCTTTAACAGTTTTTTTTCTCTTGCTTCTTCAATCAGCAAGTTTTTGATGATTTCAATCTATAAGTGAATGAAAAATTAGTTCTGTATTTTCTGCTCAGTTTTGTGTGTACATACGGATCTTAAGGTGGTAAGCACCTGTAGATAAAGACTGATTTTTACATATTCTCCTTTAGAGAACATCAGGTTCACAGATTTATACATTTTTTTGGTAGCACTGGGCACTGAACCCAGGAGTACTCTGCCATGGAACAGCATCCTCAGCTCTTGAGAGGGCTTTGCTAAGCTTCCAAGGCTGGCCCTGAACTCGAACCTTCCTACTTCTACCTTCCCAGGGGCTAGGATTACAAGTGTGCACCACCAGGGAGGGCCTGGCTTGCTTGATGAATTCTGAGGAAACTGCAGGTTCTGCGGGTCTCAATGTTATAATCCTGTGAATTACTGGCGGCATAACTCAACATTTGATTTGACAGACGTACAAGGCATGTATTCTTCCTCTGGGCTCTAAATCTAATTTGAAAAACGTTTGGGAACTGAAAACAAAACCAGACAGAGCTCTCTCCCCCAGGCTTTGAAGATCCAGGAAAAAGTAGGTGAAGCAAATGCGATGTTATGTAGTTACTTCTAACTGCATCCATTAATAGTGTTCTAACGGGTACCACATTTCACGATTAACCACAACAGAAATTCAAAACCTGTGCATCGCTAAAACCGAGACTGCTGCGCGCTTACCCTCAAGCGAACGGACCCAACAACAGAAATGTATCTTTAGAGATGGTGGTGCCAGTGTAAAGCATCCTGACAACAGTTACTCAAGACTGACTGGAACTTAGGAAACGAGGCCTCTTCCAAAGAGTTCTCCGGCAAGCACAGTAACAGGCGAGCAAAGCGCCCTGACGGAGACTGCAGCCACAGGACGCTGGCATTTCTGAGAACGTTTCTCTCGTACATTCATCCGGCCAACACACCACCATTTCATTAAACAGGGCGGACTGACCATTTTCGGAGTAGAATGAAATACGCAACGATGCAGCGTACGCATGCACAACCGGGCCCCCGAAAGCAAAACACAGCCGAAGACCACGAAATGGGATCTTCCTGAGCTCGAGAGCAGCGGCTGGGCGGGCAATGCCGCGCTCGGCGGCGCCCGCACGACTCCCGGCCG